AAAACTGGATTGGAAACGAGAGCTCTCCAAACACATTACAGCCATGCCATGAAACTCACCATGTAGTAAGTAAAACGAATTACTTAATTCCTGGGTATCCCCCATGTGGTTGCATAGAAGTAGTGGGTCAGAAGTCCCCAAAGCATTCTCGACAGTGATTGTAGGAGCTCAGTCAAGATCTTTCCTGTTCTGGAACAAAAGTGTAAGTATAATTCGGTGCTCAGATCTTTCTCTTCCTGAGAGCACAGCATTTTGGGAGCTTGATAGCCCCCCTGAGCTTCCCAGGAAACATCAAGCTCTCAACTGTGGTTTTTTCTGGGCTCACCTAGGGTGCAACATGTGTGCAGAAGTCAAAACAGGAAAGATGTTTGTGAGCCAAACATAAGGTAGCTTCTTGTTGTTGGTTTGGGTTTTTATGATGATGTACCATTGATAGCCATTTCTGTTGAAAAGTCAGTGCAACAAACCTTGATGCAATAACCTTCCACACTATGGTCTCTGCCCACTGCTGCTTTGGTGAAATCTTTCTCTCAAGTGTGGAGTTTTCCAAATGAATTTTTGGTTAAAAGTTGCAATTCCATTTCCTTCTCTCCAGTACCAGTATGTTTTCTCCTGAACAGTAACAATCACAATCTGTAAGAAGTTACAAATGGCTACCAGAAGGTAAAATGTAGCCGGAACAGAGAAGTAAAAAAAAGTTTCTGTGCTTACAGAATCTCTGTGATTACCTCTTTTATTCATGTCTTCCTCAGCATGGCACCTTGCAGCTGATGTGTCATAAAACAGTGATAAAGGTTGATAAGCAATCCTCTCGTCTGCATATACCGTGGTCATAGTGATCCTCATGTTGAATTCTGGAATGCTAACCACTGAAAAGCTGTTGCTCTAGTCATCAACGCACTGAACTCAGTAGGCAATCTGTCATTTAATTCATTGTGCCAAGATTTCAATCCATGTTTAGACTGGAATCTTGATAGACCCTTAAATAAATATTATTGATTAGTCATCAGTATATTTTACTGTGGATATGCAGAAGGTTGTGCAACCTTGCAGTTGGCTTTCTACGCAGTCCACTGGAAAATATGTTTTATTATAGTGCTTATATTGGCAACTAGGTACATCTTTATTGCAGGCTCAGATTTTAAAAAACTCCATAAACCAAAACTGCAGCTAATTCCCTCCAACCTCAGATCAGACAAATCCTCACCCACAAAACCCGAACAAGACAAGCTCGGGATCTCATTTTGATGCTGGCTTCACATTCAGTTGGATACATTAACAAAGCCTTGGCTGTCTGAAGTCGTTGTTCCAGCTTCAGAATCATTATGATCTAGGTCAGGGGGATTAAACTGCTTGCCTTTATGAATTACATACCTAAATCCTCATGTGAGTAAGAGAGACAGTTATACCTCAAGGTGTGAACTGTACTGCATATCCCTGAGGCAGGGCTATTTGAGAGTGTGGGGTATGAGGAGACCACAGCTGCGCAAAGCCCTCCTGCCATGTAGTATAGCTCATCAGGTGCAAAGTCCTTCAACAAGGGGCAGTATCTATTTTAGTAGCCCCCAATTATGTGTTTCACCTCCCAGCTGGGGCTTCAGATTGTCTGATGAAACACTTCATGCTGATACAGGGCTGCTGAAGTCAGTCAGCAGAGCTCTGACTAGGGTGTGCATTCAGAAGCACGGTCAAACCAGAGTGCAAGCACCAAACCTAGCTCATGGATAATCCTAGGGATATGCCATGCAAAACTCCAGAACTGCATGCTTGAAGCTCAGCACACTTTGGCTGTCTAATGGGTCTGAACAACTGAGCCTGCTGTGTAAGGTTTTTCATACACCACCTTAAATCTCTAGCCCATAGTAACAGAAGAAGCTCTTCCCAGGGTCTTGCCTGCCTGCCAGTGGAGGCAATCGGTTTGCTGTTCAGGAGAAAGTGAATTTTACTGGTGCATAATGTGAGTTACCATCTCCCCCCTCTTCATTAAACATGCCCAACCAAATGTATTCATGATATATACAGATTTAAGCCAGGAAGGAATTAAAACTGCTGTTCTTGCCAAGTGATTGAGTGCTTGCTGACACAGACTCCTAAGAAAGTATAATAGAGAAAGTACATTAGCTATTTGTGCCTTCTTAGGAAATGTATATGGATGTAACTGAGAAAACCTGATTCCATGTGGAACTGTAAAACCAGGGACATAAAATGGAAAATTCTCTGTAAATGTCAAGTCAGTGTTTTGTGGTGGCCAAAACAAGGCAAGTATTGCCATGATATTAAGAAAGGAACTGAAAACTGTCACTGTATAAATCTCTACTACATGAATATTTAAGACATTGTATGGAGTTCTAGGCACCTGATCCCTAAAGACTATAGTAGAACTGTCTGTCATGTTACTATAGTCTGCTACTAACACTGTGAGAACAGTAAGGTGTGGTGCGGCTTCTGTCTGAGGAAATTAGAAAGACTAATTATGATGAGGGGATAAACAGGGTCTATAAAAAAATAGGAAAAGGAAAATGAGAAACAAGAAATATGGAAGATAGAATACCAGAATCACAGAATGGGTTGGAAGGGATTTTAAAGATCACAGAATGGTTTGGGTTGGAAGGGACATTAGAGATAATCCAGTTCCAACCTCCCTGCCATGGGCAGGGACACCTTCCACTACAGCAGGTTGCTCCAAGCCCCATCCAACCTGGCCTTGAACACTGCCAGGGATGGGGCAGCCACAGCTTCTCTGGGCAGCCTGTGCCAGCACCTCAGCACCCTCACAGGGAAGAATTTTTTCCTTGCATCTAATTGAAATCCTTCCTCTGGCAGGTTAAAGCCATTCCCCCTTGTCCTGTCCCTACCTACCCTTGTCCAAAGCCCCTCTCCAGCTTTCTTATCAGCCCTTTAGGCACTGGAGCTGCTCTAAGGTCTCCCCTTAAGGAGCCTTCCCTTCTCCAGGCTGACCCAGCCCAGCTCTCTCAGCCTGGCTCCAGAGCAGAGCTGCTCCAGCCCTTGCTGAAGCTCCGTGGCCTCCTGTGGACTCCAGCAGCTCCATGTCCCTCTTGTGTTGTTGCCACAGCACCGGATGCAGGACTGCAGGGGGGGTCTCTCAAGAGTTCAGTAGAAGGGGAGAATCTCCTCTCTCAACCTGCTGGTGTTGAGGGATGTTTTTAATTCCTTTTATTCCCACTGGATCCATGTATTAGTTCCTTTCAGCAGGGCTTTCTACGAGTAGGTAGGTGCAGGGTAGTGAAATCAGTTTCATGCTTATGACCTTTTCTTGTTTTAAGAAGTGTTGTAGTGTCTACTTGTGTCCTGATGCCATGAAGCCCTTGTTTTTGTGTCTTTACTTTCTTCATATCTTAAATATTTCCCTTTAAGCAAATAAGAACTATCACCTATTTACTTAAAACTGGAATATAGGCCAGTCACGTTTCAAACTCTGACACACCAGAGCACACAGAATCCATGCCATGTATTATGATCTTAATTTATAAAGCACCTTCCTCCAAACATGATCTCATAAATAGGCAAATGAAATTTCCCAGGTCATTTTCATAATTACAAAGGAGGCATGCACATTCTAAAAGCTAAACCCTAACTCAGAGCACTTAGGTTATGAGTAACTGTTACAATGGACTTTAGTTATACATTGTTAGATAAAAGCCTGAGAAAAATATGACCTGGTTGAGGCTCAATTTGTATTCTACCAAATGGTTCTCAGTAGTATGTAAATCTGAATAAACATCTAAGAACTCCCTATTGGGTCATTAAAAACTTTGTACCTATCTAAAATGTTGATTTTAGCCACAAAACCTCATAATGGAACATAAGTAGATGAAACTTACTCACTGGAGATTTCAGTGGCCCTCTAGAGCCAGAGATTTATTTCTGTATAGAATATTAAATCTGATTAGCCTGCACCAAATGAAATTATATGTAATTTGCTGGAAAAGTACAGGCAAATGTCACAAAACGTACAGTTAAGTCACTAATCCAGTGATTTGTAGATTCAAAACCTACAGCTATAGGTTTTGTATTATTTTAAGGCAAATTAATGTTTGCTCTGAATAGTCAGGAAAGGAGAGAAATACCAGAATCTGTAGCACATCACTAAAGAAAGGAGTATGTCTAAAGCAGTCCCTTAGAAAACATGCTGTCATTTTAAAGTTGTATTTAACCATTTTTGTCACTGTGATAAGTAACTGAGATATGAATTTATCATTTATTTACAAACTTTCTATTTAATTTTTCTAATATTAAAAATTCTATCTACTGTACTAAAGAAATACAAACACCAGCCAAATAGGCATCATTTTTAAGCAACATCTGTGGCTTCTCCTAACATTAATTTTCTGATACAGATATCCACAGAACTACTCTCACCCCCCAAAAATGGGACATATTCTTCATCCATATAACAACATGAAACAAAAAAACCCCAGTGTTACTTGTTTGTGTTTCATTTATCAGGATCTGGAACAAAGACAGATTCCACATTGCAAACTGTTGTTTGACCAAAGAAAAACCTCTCAGATCCAGTGAGGTGAACTGGGTCTCACCCTGAAGCTGGGTGAGATGCCATAGTCTTGTTTTACAGGTTCTAAAAATGTTTAGATTCTAAAGAAAATGGGAAAAGGGAATCACCTGCTTCTGGACAAATACACAGAATACAAAATTATTCCACACATACAATTCTCTTTCTTATCCAAAGAATATTCCTTCTTTCCAGTCTAGGAACAGCTTTACAAAGAACAAATCACTGTATTCATCTGGGTTTCCTCTTAAGCTACCTAGGTTTTATCAGTGCTGTAGACTGTTCTATGTCTGATTTAAGATACATGTCTCTCTGTGCTGAGCAAAGGGAACTAATTGGTATATATTTAAAATACTATCTGCAAACCACAGAACAAAGAGAAGATAAATTCTGTATTTTCTTTATGTCCTTGCTTGTCTTCATTTCAAAATCATCTTTAGCTTCTGCTGAATAATGATTCATTTCTGAATGCAAAAGATCATTAGTTCTTTATTAAGACTTCATTATTGTTACAAAAATAGAATAGAGCATTAGTCTTTATTAGGTTTTAGTTTAACATTCAGTTCATTTATTTTGAAAGGAGCATTCTGGGGTACAACATATGTAGTTCATTACTGGTGGTTTATTTAACTGTTAGTTTATAGAAGGTCTTCTGGTCACCACACAAATTATCAGGCTTCTGCTATTATGTACTAAAACCCACACAGATGTCAGAAAAGGGTTTCCTAAAAAAGTTAATTTAGGATAAACTATCACGTTGTAGCAAACAAGGTCAAGAGCCCCTTTAAGAAGGAGACTATTTCATTGCCTCCCAGTTTAGATTCTCCGTAGACACGGTCCACAAATGAAATAGGAACCTGTTGAAACAAGCAAAACTATTTTTAAGGTTCAAAACCTTAAGAATCATAAATACTGTAAACATAAGAATGGCTTTTGAACTACAGCAGGTTTAGACACGGGAAGAAGGCAAACATCAGATCAGCTTCCTTTGTGCCAGCTCTTACTGGTGGTTTTAATGATGCCCCATAGCTGGGGAGCATGAAATTATTTGGTTTATCACCTTTAAAGGTGATCCAAAGACATTACTCAGTGGCTGGATGATACACCAGTCAGAAGAAACTTAATAGCTTAAGTGTACTGAAAGCCTGGGGGTTTAAAATGAACCTTCACTGCTTTCCTGCACTGAAATTCAATACCTTTGAGTCAACGCCTCAGGGAGGCAAAAACTTCCCGCCACCATGAAACAGTATTCTGCACCTCACCACTGCCTGGAAGATGACATCTGGGTATGGCAGCTGGTGTATATTTTACAAGCAATGCCTGTCTTTATTGCTCTTTGACCATTTTATAGAATATTTACAGGATTAGAGGGCATTTAAAATACTAATTTGGGTTTCCTTACTGAAGTGATTATACTGACCAGATTAACTCCCTACTCATAAAACTCTGGGTAAATGCTGCTTTTCAGTAATTACATCACATACAGATGACATAAACAGGACATTCTGCCAACACTGTATTAGAATATTCAAGAATTTCCATACATGTTTATATGCAGAATTAAAATACTTCAGGGACTGGAATAAAGAACTGCATTTGCAAAAGTCATTAGAAAACTGGCTTAGTGTTCTGCTGGCAGCTTCAACCACAATCATCTGGCAAGCAGGACACAAAACCCACCACACCCTTGCATGTGTGCCAGGGCTGAGGACTTCTCACAACTCTAGCTCAGTCAATGGTAGAAGAGAACTCAGGGCAAGAAAATGGTAAAAAGATACCTAAAAAGGCATCCAGAGAGACTCAGCAGTGGCTCTGGCTTTCTTAGTAGAGTCCCTTTGATGATCCCAAGCAAGTACAGACAGCTGATCTATGGGGCGCTACTGAATATGTAGTCATTGCAGTGACATTTCCTGACTCACGATGAAAGAATGGTTAACATCTCATGTAGTAAAAGGTGTCAGTCTTGCCCTTCAGTATAGGAGTTAACCACCATGTTGCTTCTGGACTTTGCCTTTCTTACATAAGAAGTTCTACCATTACTCTAAAGGAAGCATCTTCCAGAAGGTGTATTCCATGCACTGTGGTACATTTCACGTATAGTAAAGTACAGCAAAATGAAACAGATGCAAACAAGACTATTCAGGTATGGCTCATGCCAGTTCATCTCATTATCCCCTTGTTCCTATTAGACTGGCAGGTCTCAATCTTCATTTTCAACTTTGCTTAAGAAATATTTTTCTGGCACAATTGTATCTACATTTTACAGCTGCATAAACCCCCTATTCTGTGTGTAAAGTTCCAGCACCTGCAAACCAGGAATGAGATGTGTGAGTGTCACCTCTGCTGGAATTTTAGTATTACGGTTTGGATAATTATAAACTATGTAAAGATCATAAGTAATGATCAGGAAATACTGTATCAATGCACTTGAAATGTAACAGAAAATTTCCTACTCCAGGAAGCTACAACACAGAGATGATACAGAGAACAGGAAAAATACCATAGTCATGCTAGGTATGCATCAGCAACCTGAATACTGTCGTGTTTGTTACAGATATCACAAAGGCAATCCTAAAGGCAAGGGCAAAGCAGAACAATGAAGCAACTTTTCAGATGTTAGGGAGAACTCTTCCCAGATGTGAGAATCCAAAGGCAGAGGGAAGGAGATGCTTGAGAACATACAGCTGAATTACGGAGGATGGTGTAACTGACCCATGACAGAAGAGAGCACGTGCGCCACCACTGATGGAGAGACATTAAGCTTAGTCAAGACTGTTAGGCCTTGAACCAGAGGACAAATGTCTTATATTTGATGCTATGCAACCAGTAGTGGCATGTAAATACATCGATGGTGGGAATCAAATAATAGGGAGAGAAAAGGTCTTTGCAGGAGCAGCCTTAAGAGGTATAAACAATCCAAGACTGAATTTTTTCAAGCCAGAGAACTGTATTTTACTGTTTTAAAAATGTATTGTAAATAAAACCCATCTCGCCCGAGTTTTCAGTTTCTGGGTGTACAGGTGAGGATTTAATTCAGTAATACTAGAAAGCAGTACATGACTCCAGCTGGATGGGAAGACCAAAGAAAATACTGTCAAACCTCAGCTAAGAACAGGATAGTGATGTTGCTCCATAAGTGAGAAAGGTGGAAGAAAAGAGCTTGCTTTATTGTGTGGAAATTCTCTGCCCAATGGTGATTGAGAAGTGCAAAATGTTCAGGTTTAGAGAGGTAAGTACCACCAACAGAATTCTCTGACAAGTCAGTCATGAAAATGATGATGAAGGAACTGGTTCCGAGATTCACAAAGAATTCCAGAGAAAAGAAATCATCTTTAAAGACACCAGCAAGAGCAATTCAGTGAAACATAAAAGGGCACAATCAGACTGCTGGAAATACAGCAGCCAACAGTTATTTGGAGTTCTTTTCTAATGGTAGACAGCACATTCAAAGGGTTTAGAAGTGGCAAGTTGGAAAATAACAAGGCAATAAATGATGGAGAGCAGACTAAATCTGAAATAGAATCAGGTTGGTGGAGAAAACAAAGTGATTTGAAAAGACCTAACTAGAGATGTCTGTACAATATGAAGGAGGAAAGAAAAGGCTCAGGGCAGCTTCACTGTATATTTTAGCCTTCCCTCATTTGAAAAAACTTGTAAAATTGTATGTGGCTAAAGAAATAGCAACAGGAGAAGAGAAGGATCTGAGCAGCATATCAGCCAGGGGAATATGCAGCTGGATTTCAGATCTCCTATTCACCTGGAAAAGCTGGGAAAATAGAGTTGTACATATGTAACCTTTTTGGATCGATTCGATAATCTTGCTGCTTCATGGAAGCTCACAAAACTTCCTGCGTTCCCAGTAATCTGTATCTACACTGAAATGAAAGCACAATATATTTATCACAACTTTCACTATACCTCTCCAATAGTATATCCCAACTGTCTAGCCCGAACAATCATCTCCATCTGGAAGACGTATCCTTTAGAAACACATTTTTCCATTAGCTTCTCTAAGACTTCTTTTCTGTATAACCTGTAAATGATTACAAAAAGAAAAGAGAAATCTGAAGCACAACGTCTGAACTTTAGAAATCAAGACAGTGCGTAGGAATTTTAACTGGAATCACTCACTCAGATGATTGCTATTTAAAAACCAATCTTTAACAAAGTCAGTTCTTGCAATCTAGTCTGTTTCTTACACCTTTCCAAACAGATTTCATAGCCCTCAGTAAGGAAGGTCTGTTCTTCCTCCAGTTCCTTGTTCAGCAGTTTCTTAATTTCAAATAAACTTGATGAATTGGAAACCAGACCCATACCTGAAGCTCCCTGTTAGGTCTGATGCACCTGGTCGCAGCAAAACCTGAGTCAGAAAATTGGCACCACGACTGTGAAAGAAAAGATGAATGTCAGAATTGCTCAGTGCACAACTCCAGAAGATCAAGCGGAATTTCTAGAAAAGAAGCAAAAATCATCCTACCAGCAAAGAAAATAAGAAAAAGGAAAATGAAACTATTTCTAATACATTTTCACTTCTAGATTTGACAAATAAATCACAGAATCTTGAAATGAAAACCTAACCTTTGCATTTCAAACAGATTATCAGTAGATTATTGAACTATGAAGGAGAAAATGGTTTCTAGAAATCAGGTTTACAATCTGGTTCTTTCTGGCAGAACTCTTAGTGCAACTACACACTGAGACAATACATCTGACAACAGCCAAAATGTTTTTCTTCTAACATTCACTGTAGGCGGAGAATAAAAATGTTTCCTGGACAAATGTGAGACTTGGATTAAAAAAAATCAAGGTTCAGTTTTGGTAACACTGCTCTTATAGCATGATAAGGATCATCTCCACTGATGAAGAATGTCACAACACTGAGAGGCCAGTTACGATTATCTTGCTGAGGACTCTATTACACACTGATAAGAGGTGTAAATCCTTCACCTTGTCCAGCATGAAGTAAAAGGATTCCTCTGTAATGTCTATTCAGCTCTTTTGCTGGGTGTAGATTTTATTTACATTCACAAAAAGGTGAGCACTTATTCCAGCATTAAAAACAGAAGACCCAAACACAGTCCCTGTGGTATCACCTCCAGATCAGACTGCTAACACAACTTCTACTCCTAATTCTTTACAGTAACATATAAATTATTCTTATTCTCTTAAATTAGGTGCGAATGACTACACAGAAACTTGTCAACTACCTCCTCAGAATCTGTAAGCCCCTGTAAACCTGAGACATCAGCCTCCATATGCTTGTACAACCTTGACAGAACTTTCCTCTTTGTGCTGGTGAAACCTCTCCCCAGTGTTCATTGTAACTGTTTTCTAGCAAGGTCTAAGCAATCACTTGTTAGCATTGATCACGCCAGGTAATCCTTAACTGATGACAAATCAGAGCTTCAACAGAGGGGTTTAGCAAGTGATTTACTCCTAGGGAAAAGCCGGTTACAGCTGGTAGAGCTAACTAAATGTGTTCTTAAACTTACAACAGTCTCAGGTCATTTGCTGGATGATGAAGCTGACTGTCCCAACCTGACACCAGGCAGGTTTGTTCACTGTTCCAACCCATTTCTCAAGCTTAGTTATGTCATTACATTCCTTCTTGGTGGGTTTTAACTAAAGAATTTGCAAACCATTCATGCTTCTATTACTTAACATAATTTTGCAGTACCCAGTACTATTGACTGAAGACTCAGTTCAGCTCAGACTGAGCTGAATCCTTGGAATTACTGTTTCTAAATAACATATTTATGTGTAAATATGTAGAAAAATACCAACCTGATTAATTTTCTTTTCAAATCCCAGCCATATACTCCTCCATTTCCTTTATATCTTGTTCCAGACACAATATCAAAATTGCCTTCTTTCTGCTTTCTATAAGCAATTGGTTTTATCAGAGAAACAGGAGGATTATTTGTATGAAGGTTGGACAAAATAAAAACAATCACTCTTTTTACAAAATCCGTATTTTACAAACCTCTGAACGAATAAGGAGAGACGAAAGCAATCCTTATGGTGCTTATAGCATTATGCATTTAAAAACCTGGTGATTATTCTCTTATAAAGACCCATTTCAGGGAATCTCATGATTATCTTTTACCAACTACGCCACAGAATTTCACAGACTACTTCATGAATAGGCATTTTTAAAGCTTCTCTCTAGTATAAAAGACAATGATTTTAAATACAAATTTAAACATTTAAATTATACAAACCAATAATAAGGAAAAAAAAGTCTGGAACTATCCTTAGTCCAGACTGCTGCAGAACCTCATCTAAAATGTAAGGCCTCCAGTTCTATTAGGCAAGAAAGTCGTTAATTACACAGACTGCTGCCATTAGACTCCAATGTAATGCCTCTTGTCCATTTCTCACCAACTGAAATGTTACAGGGAGGTGGAGGTAGGCAAAAGGAAGAGAAGTATTTCACTAATAACTGAGGACATGGTCCTCTATTCAACATCTTTACATGATAAAATCAACAGAATCAGAAGATGACATTTATATATATGCTTTTTAAAGCTGCACAGCCATTACAAGGCAGAGAACTACTACTTAGCCACACGTGCACTCTGTTACTTTAAACTTGGGGATTTTTGCTCCAGTTAGGAACTAATTATTTTCCTGGACTATTCTGGGACAAATCTAATGAGGGCCAATCACTTTTATTCAAATTCTTTCCTTGCCAATTTTCTTACCACAGCTACACAAGAATATAAAGCTTTCAAATACTACTACAAACCAATAAACATTCAGAAGTCATTCTCTCATACTATGATCGGCACCTACCTGATAAACTCTGGAATAAACTTTGGCTGAAATGGAAAGAAAACAGATCAGAAAAGATAAAGCAGTGGGGGTTAAAAAAAAAAAAAAAAAATCAATGAAAACTTAATTTTAGCAGATTAAAAAAATGGTAGATAAAATACAGACTTACGTGGTGAGAGAGGTCAGCATCCATAATAACAATGAAATTCCCAGTGGCGTGCTTCATTCCATGAATATACGCAGTGCCTGATGAAACAGTAAAAAATTTCCATCACTATTTTAACATGTGCAATCTTGCAGCCACAGTCTTCAATGATTTTCTAGAATCTCTACTAGAAAAGGATCAATTACAACCTCATAAAATTTATTTTAAAATGATGTATTGGTGATCAAACATTAAAATTCCTTTTCCTTTTCCCTCCAGTTTCAGCACTAGATTTTATAAATATAAATAGATTATAAACAGATTTTATAAATAGAAAATTGGCAAATCCTGCTGCACTAGAGCTGCACAGAGAAGCATGACTTGGTAAGTGGGTCACTATTTGAAATATCATTTTCAGAAGAGCCACAGGCACTTGTGAGCCACAGAAGACTAGAAATAGGACACAGACAAGAACATAATCACCAACAGTTAAAACCCCCTTGATTTCTAGACTCAGAATTTACTAGTAGTTGTATATAGATTTTAGTTAGTTCTTGATACCATGAATAATATTCTGGTACCTAATCTGAAGACAGCCCTTTTCTCTTTCTTTAGACTTTGTTGTATTTTATTCATCCTGGATGAACTGGTGTAGCTATTTGGATAGGAGCTGTAACAAGTTCTGCTATTACAGTTTTCCTCAAGAATGCAAATTTCTGATCCCAGTCATGTCATCCAGAGGCAGCACTGTATCTGCAGACCGTAGAGCAGCACAGCAGATATGAAAAACTGGCAGATTATTCTCACTTATCCAAATTACTCTTGAGTTTTTCTGTTAACTTCATGAGGAATAGATAAAACTGAACGCAAAACACTCAACTGATGTCCTTAGCAGGCACTGCTACAGAAAACTAAACTCCTGGTTAGTGAACAAGCTGCCTTCCCTGTCTTTCCCTTGTTTGCAGAGTTACATCATAGAAGTGTCACAGATTTGTATATTGTGCACAAGTGGTAGCTATGGTACACAAAACAGTCAAATTCAGTCAGTTTTAATCCATAATACTGGTCAAATTAAGACATGGGATGAGAAAGTAGAAAACATACACATAACAGCATGTAAGCTTTTTGGAGTTTCTTAGATAAATGAGAGGAAAAAAGTATAGAAAATCTAACCAGAAAATTCAGTATCAAAATTAGAATTTGATTTTTGTTCAGTGGACTGGGGAAATCAGGTGCAGTACCCAGAACACTGAACACCTCAGATGTTGTACCAGTGGGGGATTGCAAGATATTTATCAAGAAATGCAGATAGCGATTGACAATAAATCAAACAACAAACTGCATTTTATCATTGGCTCCATTCTTTTAAGGCAGAAGGGATAAAGATCTTAACAGATGGAAATATCCCCACTTTATTTCAGAATAGTTTTCATACTACAAGTTTTAATGCAATTTCATAGCATCCTTGAGTGGTTTGAGTTGGGAGAGACCTTAAAGCTCATCCAGTTGCTGTGATTTTTTTCCCCACTCAAACTTCATATACTAGAATCAAAGAATACAGATTTATTTTTTTTAGTACTAACCGGAGTTAGCCAGGACTTACCGAGGCCCAACTTTCTTGCTCTGGGTCTCAGAAGCTGCAGAACATATTAAGATACAGATATTACTCGAAGAACAGTTTTTAATTCAGTTTAGTGACACCTTAAATTTGCTATTTTCAAGGTATAAAAATATCTTAAAATGAACTTTTGATTTTTAGAAATCTAGTTAATATAAATTTATCTGTCAAAATACATGAGACACAAACCATTATATTAAACAGGTATTCGATCAGGTCATATTTAAAAGCAAACACCTCTTAAGCTTTATTTAGTAGTTCTGCAGTAAAAAACAAAATCAACAAAATAACCCCAAATTAAAAGTGCCATCTCAGTAACTAAAAGATTTCCCCAAATTCCACTCTCTGAAACACAGTTATAAATCTGAACAACAGTCTCCCCAGCACCGTTACTCTTCAGGGATCACAGACACTAACAGCAAATATTTTAGCAAGTTTCCCAAAGTAATCACTTTCAGTACTGAATATGAATGTCAAGATTTTAGTGTGCATATGGACATAACCAGGAGTAATGACCTTATAACAACATTATCAATCATCCAGAACATGAGTGACCAAGCTTTAAACCCAGGCCCCATTTCCTCAGCTCCTGCGGGGCTCTGTGAAGTGCAGGGGGAAAAGGGGTCACCACCACTAACAAAAGAGGAATCTCATTTCTAGATCATCATGACAGTAATTTAACTCCTAAAGTGCCACTGATATAAGTCAGCATTTGGGGAGGAGAGAGTAGATCTTTAAGCAGTTATCTAAACATAATTCTGAAACACATTTTAAATCTTGGCCAGTTTTGATGCCTTATCTAAGTGGTCATAAGCAATGCAATTTGGAGATGGACATAGATATGAAGGAGTTAATCCTCAGTGCTTCTGCTGATTTGTTATTTTGGTTTCTGGGTTGGTTGTTTACTTTTTAATATATAGTTAGGTTTGAACATTAACTCAAAAAAAAATTACTTTAGTTCCTCATCTACTTCCGTGAAGCTGTTGGCCTTGCATTAAATCAACAGCACATTACATTCAGTAAGCTTAATGTAGTAAGCAAGAAGCCCCATCAAGTTGTTTAGATGATGACAACTGAGCGCAAATCAGAACAGTGACTTTGCTCAGGAAACAAAATTCAGGTTAAAAAAAAATATATATATATATATATATCAGGAAACAGTGAAAATTCATCTAATGAAAACTCTCAGCAGATTTACCCTTCTGCAGTGGTGCCAGTGTGAGCTGATGGTGGTGCCTTCACATATTCACACTCAACTGTGCTCAGCTCAACACTGCATCAGGGGATGGTCCACAGGTTAAACTTCAAAACTAAACTCTTATGCAGTGAGGAAACTTTTCTATTGCTGGTATAAAGAAAGTAAAAGGATAAAAAAAGGCAGACTCTAAAACTTCTTATGCACATTGTTCTTAAAACAATCTCTAAATCGTAGTTAATTCACAGATACTTTTTAAACCCATGCATTTACACAGTGACAGATTAGGAAAGTGCCCCTGCTTACAGCACAACCAGCACACAGAAGGTTGGGTTCACTGTTCTGTGATAAAGGCTTTATTGCCAAAAAAAGGTGGCTTTGAGTTGTAAACACCAAAGAAGTAACAGTATCTTGTTGTAATTGATGGTTATATAGTAATATATTAAATAGGGGGAAAAAAGTCCTGTCATTGAGGAATGCAACCAGATTCAAAAATCACAAGTCCAGGCTAGCTTTTATCTTTCCAATTTCCTTATTCCTGCAGTCACTTAAAATGAGATTAAACCTTATCCTGACCTCATTTTTCCCTCAGCTGTGCGCAAAGTAACAACTAACAACCACTACTTGTTATTCACAGCACGCAGCAATGCACAAAGTACTGAAAACCTTTGCAAACAGTTTATGATTCTGCATATTAGCCCATGACGCTGCTAAGCTGCTGCAGAACATCTGTAGCTTTACATTAGCCTGGAGTGCTGTGGAAAAACTAAATAAATAAAATCCTTAATAATTTAAGGATGCAATCCAGAGATGCCGCTCTCCAAGAGTTCTCTGTGGGTTCTGGTTCTCTACGGGTTCTGGTTCTCTAAGGATTCCTGTTCCCCCCAGACTTCAAGTACTTTCCAATATGATAAAAATGAAAGATACAGCATATAGAACTCACTATTTTATCTGATCCATATATTTTTTCCAATTGCTCAGCAATTTCCTGTGTCCCATCGGGGCTCCCATCATCTATGATGATAATTTCAAAATCCTTTCCGCTGAAATGAGAATCGTTTTTAAATGAACAGACGGCAAACCCAGTTTCACTGCCCGTGTCACTGCGAGCGGCACGGGCCTGAATCGAATACAAGGTGACTTTCTGACAGCCGGATGCTGTAGTTACCGCCACAGGACCACGCTTACAGGATAAACCGTGACCCAAGATCACTGTTTCAGCTCTTAAACCGCAACAGCGCCACATCCCGCTGCAGCCTCACCACAGCGACCGGTGCGAGCCCCGGGACCGCGAGAGGGGCAAAGCTAAAGCTGCCTCCGGGTTTCCCTCCGGCAGCAGGACCGCTCCTCCCGCAGCCCGGCCCCGGCCGGCACAGGGCCCCAGGGCGTCCCCCCCGCGCCGCAGGCGGTACCTGTCGCGGAAGGTGCGCGCCAGCAGCCACACGACGAGGGGCAGGTTCTCCCGCTCGTTGTACGTGGGCAGCAGCACCGAGAACTTGTCACCCCCGCGGCCGCCGCCCGCCATGTCGGCGCGCTGGCGCACCCGGAACCGGCGGCCAGAACACGGAGCCAACCGGCGCGCCCGACGCGGACGGAAGTGCGGTGCTCTAGAGGTGACCGGGAGGAAGCGGAAGCGGTGTGCGGGGTTCGGCGCTGTCCCCTCGGCTATGGCCGGCATGGCGGAGGCGGAGCGGCTGAGCGCCGAGATCAGTCGGCGGGAGCGGGATCTGCGCGGCCTGCGGGACCGGCTGGCCACCGTCCTGGCGGGGGGTGCCGCGGGGGACGCCGCGCACACGGAGGAGGATGCCTCCGCCTTTCCCGCCGAGCTCCCCCCGCTGCCCGCCCAGGCCTCTCTGAGCCCCGCCGACATCCTGCGGTACAGCCGGCAGCTGGTGCTGCCTGAGCTCGGCGTGCGGGGACAGCTGCTTCTGGCCCGCTCCTCCGTGCTCGTTGTGGGCTGCGGCGGCTTGGGCTGCCCCCTGGCCCAGTACCTGGCCGCGGCCGGTGTCGGCCGCCTGGGTCTGGTGGATCACGACGTGGTGGAGACGAGCAACCTGCACCGGCAGGTGCTGCACGGGGAGGCCCGCCGGGGGCTGCCCAAAGCCACATCTGCCGCGGCAGCTCTTCGGCTGCTGAACTCCACAGTGCAGTACGTGCCGTACTGCGGCGCCCTGAGCCCTCGCACCGCTCTGGACCTGGTCCGGCAGTACGATGTAGTCGCCGACTGCTCCGACAACGTCCCCACCAGGTACTTGGTGAATGACGCCTGTGTTCTGGCTGGGAAGCCCCTGGTGTCCGGCAGTGCCCTGCGGCTGGAGGGGCAGCTGGTCGTGTACAACTACGAGGGAGGGCCCTGTTACAGGTGTCTCTTCCCCAAGCCCCCTCCACCAGAGACAGTGACCAACTGTGCAGATGGGGGAGTGCTGGGTGTTGTGCCAGGCATCATGGGGTGCATACAGGCCTTGGAAGTGCTGAAGATCGTCTCGGGAATGGGTTCCTCTTTCAATCAGTTCATGCTGATGTTTGATGCCCGAGAAGGGAGATTTCGCAACATCAAGTTAAGACCAAAGAAACCAGACTGTGTTGTTTGTGGTGATAATCCATCTGTTACCTGCCTTCAGGATTATGAGGCATTTTGTGGTTCTTCAGCAACAGACAAGTGTAGGACTTTACATCTGCTGTCTAGTAAAGACAGGATATCTGTAGAGCAATACAAGAAACTGTTGGATGAGCAAGTTCCTCATGTATTGCTAGATGTTCGTCCACAGGTAGAAGTGGATATCTGTCGCCTGGCACACTCTGTTCACATTCCTTTGAGCAAATTAGAAGAAAAAGATGAACAGTATCTGGAACACTTAGAAAAAAGAATTTGTGAAGAAAAGCAGAGAACTAATGGCCAGACACCCTTTCCTGTATATGTTATTTGCAAATTAGGAAATGATTCCCAGAAGGCTGTAAGAATTCTGCAGGAGTTGACTGTCAAAGTATTTGCTTCTGTGTTAGCCAAAGATATTAAAGGGGGGCTCATGGCTTGGGCCACTAAAATTGACCCAATGTTTCCTCAGTATTAGAAATATAAATGGTGAAAACCAGTGCAAATGTTCCATAGGGTTTCATCTTCTCTGTGTCATAACTGTATCATGTGGATGACATAGGAGATAGAAATGTTGTGTTGCTTTTTAAATGGTATTTTAAAAATGTGTGTTTCGTCTGATTATTTTTATAAAAATGCAAAACTGTCCATGGAAATGGAAAGAAAAGTACTGCTTTGCTATTGTTTAACAGTGAAAACTTGGAATAACTGCTTAATTGTGTGTGTGATAATTGAGAACAAGTCCTGATTAGTAGTTACAACCCAGAGTGACAAAGCACAGGAGTCAAGTGCTGAAGGTTTTTACTCCTCTTTAACTGCCAAACACATCACAACAGTGCATGTAGTGAGCAAAACCAAATAACTAATTAATGTTGAGGTCTTCAGTAGCACTATTGAGCTCATCATGGGGAATTGCCAAAACAATGCTGAGCAGAGTGGTTTGGTCACCATCTTTTTTCTGTAGCAGTGTTGTGTATTTATGAAAGAGAAGAGCTTGCTGCAGCTATCATCACATACAGCAACGCTGTTCTGTGAAGAACTTTCAGAGCCACTTACCCTCACCTGCTGGCTGGCCAAAAAAATGTGTTCTCTGACTTGTGTAGAGAAACTGTGGTTAAATGTTAATAAGACATCAAGTTTGAGCCCGGAAAGTTTGTAAAACATACAGAAAATGCTTTTCTGAGAGCTTGGAAGATCTAAGAGTATGAATTGAAGAGGTAAGAGAGAAAAAAACAGATATGTGGCCTCCCTTCTGCAAGTACAAAGACGTATTTCTTAAATGTTCTTCCTGTTAGTTGTGGTAGGTGCATATCTCCAGTTGCACTGCACTATTTTGTTAACTGGCATCAAGAGCTACACATATCTAAAATGATCTTGTAGATAAACGTAATGAAAAGGAGGAGAAATAAATAGCTTCTCAACAGAGAGCTGCCTGAGTCTTCATCACTTAAGCATAGTAATTATCTTCTTAATTAAGGGATGGATTTCCTTTGCTTCCTGAGGAGGAAAAAAACACCTGTCATGACTAATCTTCACATTACACAAAGGCAGAAAACGAAAAAAAGTATCATTAGAATTAGTAGTCAAAATGCATATTTTAGTAAAATAAATCTGAGAACATCCATGCTGCCTACTGTGTTATAACATGCCATGGGTTCTGGTGATAAGAATCTTGGTCTCTTCTGAAGGAAACAGTTATGTGCATTTATAAATACTCATATTTCTTGCAATTTAGGAGACAGTGAAAATACTGAAGGCTGTGACTTAAAAGTTTAAGCATCGTGGTACGTAGTAAGAGAGTCATTGGTTGAGGACTTCAAAACAGTTGTGGAGGCCCACTTCAGTCAGAACTATCTGACTTCTGGTGGGTTTCAGCTTGTTGGAATTAGATACCAGAGGGACTTGTCTGAAATGTCTGATCTGTGTTTTCACCTATCATTTCTTCACTGTCTTGTCAAGAAGAAACTGAAACAGAGAAGGTAACAGTAGCAATAATTCTGTAATACCCCATTTCCCAGTGCTCAGCAGTGGATAGTATATCACATACCCACCTGACCTAACACAGTGATTCCTTTCTTATCATTCAAAGCAAGGTGAACCTATGGATGTGGAGAAAAAGGAGAGACCTTTTAATTGTAAATGGGTGCTACCTCCAGAGGATAGAAATCACGCGTAAAGTCTTTTCCTTTGTTACAGCATTTTAGCAGCAGATGCGTGCACATTCTGGGTAAGAAAATGGAGGTGACATTAAAGCCTGCAGTGGTTGGAGGCCTTTCTGTAGCGAATTTATAATTGCATTTCTTGTATCACAGTTTCAAGCATGAAACCAGCCTGAATCTTTGCTGAATAGTAGGCAATTAAGGATCTCAAGAACTCTGTCCAAAAGCAGTGATAAAGATGAATCAAAATGGTGCAAAACCATAAGAATGATACCAGAACTCGCAAAAAAAGTAAATGCATCAAGTCAGGCTGGTCACAGACAAACTTTCAAGGATCTTTTCTATTTCAGTGACTTTCTCGAGTGACCATTCTTGCCAGTCTGCAGGGGCTAAGGTTCAAAGTTCTTACAGCAGTGCAGCATCTGAAATGCCTCTGCTCGTTTTGCATAGAGTTCTGTGCAAAACTAATTGAGCCATACAACATAGAGATGGTTAATCTGGAAAGAACTCGGGAGTATGCAAAATATAGGTTCTTTGGGGAGGGGAAACATGTTCTCTTCCTTGGCTTAGGATAGCAATTAAATTCGCAGCAAATACAAAAGCATGTGCCATGCATCTGAGACAAAGATGGGGTCTCTGGTACTTGTACAAATTTAATTCTTTACATACTTGGGCTGTTACTAATTTCTTCTCCCCTTGGCTTGCTGACGTGATCCACAAGTCTTCCTGTAAATAGAGTCCTCATGTAGTGATGGACTCTGGAGATACGCTGAAAAATCAAGGACCAGAGGATCATAACTAAGCCAAAACTGTTCTTATTATTGGAAAAATCTTTTGTTTTGACTTGCTTTAGTTTTTGAACTCTATAAAACATGTGGTGGTTTCTCTGATCACCAGGAATTGTAATAGCAGAACTCTGTTTAGAAATTCCAAGAGAAGCAATAAAACTGATTTTGTATTGGTGCCAAAGTGCTGGCTAAGCATTTGGAACATATTGACACTGTGAATGAAGATGAGCTGCTTTGTTCAAGGAGCTTATAGAGTCGTTGGTCTAAGATGCTTTATCAGAGAGGATAAGGTCAGTCAGCAGAGTGTATTCTTCTCTTTGTCCTTCACTCTTGATGTCTTTAGGTTGCTTTTTGCTTGTTTAGTTATAATCTCTTTTAATTGGTTTAGTATAATTTGGCAAAGGAATTAAACGGGGAAGAGCTTCCTGTTAGAGGTTTGGGGGTAATAGAAGGTGGCTGAGCATTTATTCTGAATTGCTGCCTTCTAGTGTCAGACATGTAAGTATGTAGAATAGCTTCACGGTTCAGGCACAGTTAAATAGCTAAGCTTGTTTTGTCTTGGGGTATGGTTGTTATTTTAAGGCAAGACAAATCAAACTGGTCTGGTTTTCATGCAGGTCTAAAAGACATCTGCATGCAAGGTACTAATGTGCCTGGATAGGCTAAAATCTTCCTTATTTTGATGGCAGGAGTCTCTCAAAACTCCAATAAATTCATCACTGACCTACTATCAAAGTGTATGATTTAAAAAATATCCTTAACAATTATTGGAACTGTTTGTAGACAAATGTATGAGGGATGTGTCCAAAACTAGTTCTTAATACTCATGTATCAGAACGTATTTTGATTATGTGAGCATCTCTATTACTATCCTATTTGCAAACATCAGTTCTAATGAATTTAACTGTTCAAAACCAAACGATGCACCAGATGCTTAAAATGCTGCAGGCACAAATTGGTCTTTTTTTAAGATCTGAAAGCTCTAAAATGTCGTTTGTGAAACTACATCAAGAAAACAATGTTAAGGGTGTTTGCTAGGTGGCACTGCAAGTTAATAAACGAGATCATTCTTTGTGTTGTAGGATGCAGTTCAACCTTAGCAAGAGCTGAGGTTCAGCTTGTGAAAATGCATTGTGGTACAGTTCTTTTGGAAAAAGCCTGGCAAAATAGCAGAAAATGGAGCGGGGCAGTTGAACAGCACCTACAGTATTCCTTGGAAAAATATAATGGAAATTATGTTTCTGTGGTGAGCTGTCAGCAGGCTGTTTATTTCAGAGACTTCACCTGATTTTTTCACATGCTGTTTCAAAACACTTGTGCAGCCAAAATGGAGAATTGTACAGAAAAGGGTTGTTAGAAGCACTAGCATAAAATTCAACATAGAGTCACTGCTAGTACATTCTTAATACAGGGCAGTGTTCCTCAGCTGGTGGTCCATACAATTATAGTGGTCCCTGAGACATCAGAAGGTGATCTTTATAGTGACTGGGGAAACAAGTTCATGTTCCAATGTGCGTGAGCAAAATCAGTAAGGCAACACCTTGGGGAAAAAACTGAACTTCTCCTTTTGCCTGATATAATGGTGTCTGTGACTTGGTAGTAACAGGAACACAAATGTTGAACTCCTTAGGAGGCATGGGTTTTGTTCATACAGACAAATGTTTATAAAGAGGTTATTTTTTTAACACTTAGGTGGCAGATATTAAAAAAAGAATTTAAAAAAACCCTACTTGCAAATTAAAGGTAATAATTTTGATGTCAGGTATTGCTTTTAATAGAACTTTTAGAAAGTACACTGAAAATCTAGGAACATAACCACTGGCTGTCCATAATTTATATCTTTGTAATTGTTAATTACTGCTGCATTTGCTGTGGTTCACTGGTTGAACTCATCCTGCCACTTGCATTGTGTCACAAGTTTAGTCCCAATAATGTTCTTGCTGAATCCGTGCTGTAAGACTGCTGAAGTCATTGGTTGCTGGTTTATTATTTTACAATAATAAACTGCTTACCTTACACCGCAGCTTCCAAATCTTTATAGGAAAAATAAATACAGAGCAGGAAAAGAAGCAGTGCAAATATGTTTTAATCTTTATTATGCAGTCAGGATCTTGAGCCATACAGGTGCATGCTCTTCGTCTTCTCCATACAGTAGAAAAAAAAGCAACTGGCATGTTCTGGTCTCGACAGCAGGACAGGAAAATGGCTTCTGTTTGCCTGTTCTCTAGTCATCACCATTGAATAGGTTCATTTGATCTTCACAATGTATTTCATGTGTTTGATTCAGTTGGTTGTGAAAGCCAACTGAAATGTATCTATGTGATGGTGCTGCTCTGACCTCTTGTTCTTTTTATTGTGAAGTGCTCACAATTCTAGTATTTCATGTTAGACTAAGAACAAAAAAATAGCTTCTATCCAAAATTATATGTCCTATGAATCTTATCCAAACTGCAAATTGATATAAACTCAGTCTAGTCCTATGGAGGTACCAGTTTTCCAGTCAGAAAGGAAGTTATTCCTACTCTGCATCAGGGCAACTTAAAATTATACTGTCTTTTGAAAGCTAAAATTGGGCTACAGCTGTATCCAGGACCAAGGTCTGGAAAGGACCACTTAGATAGGAGAATCCAGACCGCAACACAAGGTGCATGGCTTCAGCTACCGTCCTTCCTGATGTGCATGTTCACTGCAGGCTTTGCTGACCTGACCCAGCACCATCTGTCACGCAGGGAAGAGGTGGCAGCTTTATGTTCTTATGGCTTCTCCGTGCCCGTGGCACGAGGCCCTTCCGTGCAAATAAGCCGTAGTTTCATTCACAAGGTGCTCCTGCTGTTGCTAGGAGACCAAATCTCTGCTTGCAGAGAAAGGGTATTTCCAAATTTAAAATGGCTCCTTATATATTTGACTGGGAAATGAAGTCTCTTGTACAAATGGGCATTCACCTGCTCATGAACAGGAAAAGGAAGTTCTTATTTTGTGAAACAGATTTCAGACTTCACAATGTGAGGGTTTGAAATCCTTAAAAAAACCAAAGTGCTTAAACTTGTCTTTTTATAGATATATTTATATGTACATATAATGTATGGTTGTACACATCCAGAGCACAGGTATGTTCAAGATGCTGTGTGATAGAACCATAAGAACTCTACCTTAAGGCAGAATTTATAGAAATAATTTCCAGGACATGCATATTGTCAGTTCCAGATATCATTTTGAAGCTCTGCTCTCAAGTTTCTGTTTTGTTACTGTAGCAGTGGGAAGTCACAGCTGTAACAATGGTTGGAACTCGTTGAAGTGTTCTGTAGGTGATTTTTCACCTTCAATTTATTAAAACTGAATTTGTATTGTTAATGCCTTTCTGGTTTTCCTGCCTTTCAGATGAGAGCACCAAGATGTTCTTCAACACTCAGAACCCTGCTGCTCCTCTTTCAATCACTCTTGATTCACTGATCAACACTTTAAAAACAATAATTTAATCCCTTTCCTGTGCTTTCTGCCCAAAGTTCTTCTGGGGACTCCTTATCTGCTGCCCTGATTCGTGCTAATCTCCTTCTCAGTTAAAGCATCTTTAATGCTGTATTAGAGTCAAGTCAAAGCACCAATTCTGAGATGAAATTTCTTGTAATTGTTTCTTGGATGCAGTTACCTCAACCAGTTCTTCGGTTTTCATAGTGACAAGCTTAATGTTCTCATCTTGTTGGCCTTTTTCAACACTGATCATGTTTGAGGTTCTTAGGTTTCCTTATTTCCTTTCCCTTTGTACTGTGATTAAAATCAGTGGTAGCAGTGATGTACAGTTCTTTGAAGAAAAAAAGAAGCACCATTATTCTACTAACATAATGTAACAATTGCTGAGAATAGCACAGGTTTTAACTTTTTGCACTCAAAACATAGATGTTGATGGAGACTGATTTATAACACCTTGGTGCTGCTGAATGTTCGATATTCCAGCAGTAGCTAAACTTGAACAAAAGGAAGAAGTTCTGTGACTTGTCCTAGGACAAGACAAGATTGCCAGCACTCTAAACCAGCTTTCTTTTAGTCTTCCCATTATTAGTTTTAGGTCAAAGGAATAATCAGCTGTTCCAAGGAGCTGGAACTCATTGGAGTTCGGGGAATACATGAAGGTATAAATCCATTCCTTCTTCCATTATTCAGCTGGATAACTTGAATTGATACATACTGGAGGAACTAATGCTTTCTCCCTGGAGATGGTGTCCTAGAGTGACTAGTTGTGTGACACTGCTGCTGTTTTCAGTTTTCTTTTGTCTACCAATGAGTGGATGACAGGAAGAGGCTGTCAGCCTTTCTCCCACACCTGTGGTGACATTGCAAAAGCTCTTGTTCAGGCATTGCTCACAACATTGACAGACTCCCACTCTGCCGGGCACCTTACTCTCTTTTCCTCTCTCCCTATGATTCACTACTGTTGCAATGCCTCAGGAGTCCAGCTGAGCTGGCAAGATGAGATAGCTGTGCTGTAAGTAATTGCAATACAGGAACACTTCTTATTTATTGTGGTTACACCCTGCCTGTTCTTCATGTCTACCTGGTTTTGTTCTTTACCTGTTTCTTCTCTGTCCAGCGAGCTCTCAGGTTGCAGAAGTAGAGGGAGTGACAAAGCTACTTAAGTAATTCTACTGATACAAGTTCAGAGCAAGGATCACATGCAGAACTTATAGTAGCTTGGTCTATTTCCAGCTAATGGACAGTATGCTAAATGTGTGTGCATCCCTACTACTACATGAATTGTCACAAAAGTTTAATGCGGTAGTTTTTAGCATCTGAGCTGTAAGAAGCTACCACACTGTTCCTTCCTTAAGGCTTCTAGTGCACTTTTGGAAATAGATGTGTTTGGTTTGGTTTTTTTTTTTTTCCTAAACCTCAGACAACAGGGAAGCAAATTTAGAACCTGAACCTCACCAGGTCATTAGAAAGAGATCTCTCCTTTGCATGATGTTTGATCCCAGCTTCATACTGGTGCCTAGGATGGCTGGGGAAACTGCATCCCTGCTGGAGCCCTGTCTGCTGGGTGGTAGTAGATGCCTCACTGAGTGAAGTTTCACAGGTAACCTTTTAGCAGTGCTGTCATAGGCTTTCCTTGACACCTCACTGCCCTTTGCCTTGGACTGATCCATGTATTTGTGTGACTGTCAGTGAACTGGCTCAGTGAATCTTCTATTCTTCCCTTTAAACAAGATAAATTTCCTGCTCTGTCAGCAGCAGGGGGACTGGGGCTGGCAAAGTGGTAGTGAGGGTTTTGGGTAAGGCACTTCTGAACTCCTTGGACACTGAGAAGTTGCACAGATACAACTAACTGAATGAGTTTTCTTTTTGAAGCAGCTCTTGTAACTTCTTTTATAAATAAAATCCTAACTGCTTACTTACCCAACTGCTCTTACACAAGCGATGGAGGTCTTTGCATTTTTAACCTTGAGGCTTGTTAATTTTACTCAGATAGGCTTTTGAAAAATGTCACTTACATAAATTCCAGCCAAATAAATGCTGTGTAAATAGATTTATGGACATTTATGGAGTGTCAGTATGTGCTTCACACTCACCAGAAACTATGTTGGTGGGATCTTCATCCTTGTTTCCTGGCAGATCTAACAGCCTTCTCTGGCAAATGAGAGGCCGCGCATGCAGAAGCCAAGCAGTGCAGTGGATTGGGTATTTTTCTTTACATTTTAAACAGCATTTCTCATAATATTTTATACGTATTTTTAAAGAGACTGGTGGGGATGGATGCTTCAGGACAAGGGTCTGGCACTCAGACGAGGACTGCCGGGAGCAGCCCGTAGATGGCAATGTAAGATCCTTGAATCAGGCACATTCTCCACTCTGCATTGATGAAAACCGGTTTTCTTACCCAAACACTGACACAGCCTGGATTTATTGTTCTCAGTAACTTTTGACTCTTCTAGCAACGCATTCTCTGGGGCTAGTAGTGCATCTCGAGTACTATAGCTTTTATAGTTAGAAAAGCAGCCATATTCAAATACAGCAAATAATGACAAGTTTTGATTCACAGGGAAAACTTTCTCTTTGCTTTGCGTCGTAGTACACTACAAAACTAAATATGCCTTTGGTCCTATGCAGGTGCTTGAAGTACTTTAGGTGCGGGTCGGAGTTTCTGCTGTCAGTGGAAGAGCAAAGAGTCAGTAGGGAAAAAATGCACATGCAGGTTTACACAGGTCCCACCAAGAGGAGAGTTTGACTAACACAATTTCAGGGCTTACAGCAGCCTCTGTGGTGGGATGAGGTTGCCAAGCTCACCTTATGCTGTTGTTGCTAATTTTTCTTTCCTGTTCTAATGTTCAAGTTATGTTCGTTTTCATCCTGTGATTCCCATGTTGAATTTGTGCTCTCTGCTTTCACCTAAAAAACTGTGAAGATAACTTCATGCACTTCCTGTGCATGCGATACTTTGCATTCTTAGCTTTTCCTACTCAGGTTGTCCCCAGAAACAGTCCTCTCTAAAGTTAAAGACACCTGCAAGTCCTCAGTGTTGGGTCTGGTTTGCTTGAGGATATTGTTGCTTGATTTCCCCAAAAGTGCTTTTGAGTGAAATGTGTCGTCTTTTCCTCGGTTGACCTGTGAACTACCACTGTGAAAGTTATGAATGATATCACTCGGCTTCTTTGTGACATGAGGTGCACCACTAATGAAAGCAAGAGCATTACTTTCATGTCTCATTCAGCAACTTTGTTAAAACCTTATGTCTCTATGAAATTAACTGTAGAAATCTAGGCTCGTCCCCACAACTTTGTTCCTGTGGTAGGCACCATTTAAATTAGATTGTTATCTTTTACAGAACGCTAAAGGTTATTATACTTGCTGACCACTTTACTTGCGTGACTGAGACCTGTAAAATTAACTGTCCGGTTTTGGAAATGAATGGCCTTGGGTTTTTAAATGTTCTAATCTCTAGGTGATGGCTGGGAGGTACTTATGTTCCAGGTCACTCACTTGAGGCAGGTAATTATTACAGTTTGCAGCCCTGTTTTCTGCACCCACAATGAATGTAGGAATAAAATTATCACCATAATTAAGAATGGCTACAAAACTGCAATCATTAAAAAGGGTACCTAATGAAGGAGAAGCTTAAACCGCAGCTTGACAGCGTTACATGTGTTTATGTGCCCTAGCTGACTTCAGTGCTGCTCAAGACTGTTCAACTCATGTCAGAAGGGCTACAGGGATAACGAATTAATATTTATAAAGTATAGCAAATGTGCTCTAATTACCCTGATGGGCCTCCTGTGCCTCAGTTATGGCAGAACTTTATTTCTGTTCAAGTGACATTTGCTTCTAAATTAGTTGCCATGGGCAAAGGGAAAGGAGAAACCCTGTTGGATGGGGCCGAAACATCCCCTGATAATTATGGTCCTGCAGTTTCTTCACCACACTTTTGGCAGGGCTAATAGCAGTCTTAATAGCTGTAGTGATTTCTAGGGAGTATTTTGAAGACATGAGATGCTGGAAAATGACAAAGAAAAACACTGAGCAAAAAGGGAGGAAGATCTAGTTTTATTGTTAATAATCAATAGGCCAAACTCAAAACATTTTCAGTTTGGCAGCACAGGCAAAAATCTCCTTGACTCTATTTGTGGTGTAGAAATATACCTTTATTTATGGTGTATGATTTTACATAGTGACTGACAGCTACAAAACAAGGAATCCTGTCCTAAGGATTTACACTCTATAATGTTACAGGACAAGACAGAACATGCACAGAGCTGAATTGATTCAGTGAAGTACAAGTTTTGGATCGAAAATGGTCTTCACTTTCCTGGTTTTTATACTATCACTGCTATGTTGAGAACACTGAGAGCGTTAGTAATGCTGAAATGGGAACGTTAAAATGCCACAGAGGAAGTGGTAAATGGGTGAGTGCGTAAATCTAGAGTAAACATTTTCAGTTTAAGCGATAGATTATTTGAAGTGTATCTTTGTTGACAGGGGTGATGTTCATCCACTGTCACGGACTCCAGTTCCATGCCTTCAGCTCTGTCTGGTTTCTGGTGGTTGCACTCTTTGTGCCTATGGGGTACCACAGTTCCACCATCCCAGAACACATTGTACTTGGGTGCTTTCTTTTCCTTATTTTTTGTCTATTTTTGGCACTCCTGTCACCTTTTGGATAGATACTAAATTGACTGTCAAATCTTGCATAAAATTAACTATTAACACAGAAGAAACTGGGCCATGTACTATTGTGGCAACTACTGGTAGAAATGAAAATGGTGAGTAATGAATGTGAAAATGGTGAAACTCTGATACCTGGGTCAGAGTCAACTGGTCAGGTTAGGGGTTAATGTCAGTGACCGACGTGAGAGCAGAGATTGGTGTCACAGTCTTTGAACTCACATTTGTCACTTTGTTGTTTAATTTCTGATTATACACAGGCAATGAAATCTCTGTAGGTTTAGGATTATCTGCTCCAGATTTCATCCTGTTGCAAACCCAAAAGAGGGATATGAAATCCCATAGCTTTGTTAGGAAAAGTATCTGTTCCTTTCCTCTTGTTTTAACTTCCTAGTCTTGTTATCTAAGCAAAAAGATCAATAATTGTATGGAACAGGACTATTTCACGGTCAGGCATGAACTGCCAAGAACTGTATTTGCTGCTGTTCTATTGTTTCAAACTGACCTGGACCAAGAACAAGCTGGCTTCTCTGGATCTGGATTCTTTGTGCTGCCTTATATTCCTTGGTCCCTACTTATTTTGAATGAGATGTGCAAAGAACAAATAACATTAAGGCTGGTAGATACTAGTGCTTCTGTGCAATTGAAGAATAACATTCCCATTCATCTAACACTGGCCTTTAAATGTGACACCTGAGCTAGGGATCTAGCTCATTCCAGGCTCCCTTAGTTAAAAAATAAACCCCAGAGAGGACTACATATCCCCAGTGCTGATTCAGATCTTTTGACGAGGCTGCTGCTTCAGGCACTTCCGTAAGTGCCTAAAATGAACTTTTACTCTCAGTCTGTAGCCTAAAGGACTGTTTGAGTGGAAAGCTTTTGTTTAGAGAGATTCCTATGAAACTTCAATTGCAGAGGAGAGCTATAGCAGTAGGAATGAGAACCTTCCACAGCAAAAGTCTTTGCTTTTGCATCAGCCTGAATCCCCGGTTAAACTCTACCCACACAAGTCATGAATGAATAGAGCATGCCAGCTTTCCTTCCCAGATGTGCATCTCATGATGTGTAAATCCGTGATTCGGTTCTGCATGATCTTTTTTATTGTTTAATTGGGCATTGGTAAGGCCTTGGACTATTGAATGACACTACTAAAGCCTCTGACTATGGAAATCTGGAGTACTGAGTTACAGTGGAAAAAATATAAAGGGACAAATGTAGACAAGTCCTATGTATTCCCTAAAGAGAAATTTCCCTAAGACCTTGACCTGTAATGAATGTTAGTGTAATACAAATTATTCCAACTCACCTTGCAAATTATGTTCCTTGATGTATAGTTCAAGAAGCCTTGTGGCTCTGTCTTCATTTATTAGTGTTGCACTCACCAAGTGATTTTTGTTGCTTTTGTTATTTTTTTTGAGGCAGGATGACAGAGGAGGGAAAGATTCTGGAGCAAGTAATTTAATCTACCACTTCCCCTGGAAATGCTGGTTTTATCAGGGATTTTTCTCTTTCTCAATCTCAGTGGATCCTTCCTGTTTTTTTCTAAATCTGATGATTCTTTGGTTAAATGGTTAAAATATTGAATGGTTAAAATATTTTAAAATTATATCCCAAGTAACCGTGATTGTGACTCTTGGGACAACATGCAAGAAAGAGGTTTCCTTATACAAGCTGCTGAATTGCTACCTATATTTTTCTATACTGAGATGGTTTTCTTTCCTAGTATATACTTTCCATCACAGCCAGCCTGCTTCAGGTAGCAATGCTCATTGCCCAAACTCTGCCTTAGCTGCTGCTCACTTCTCAGACTGACCCCAGGTTGTCAAGCATACCTACGCACGTGTGACAGTCTTTCTGTACCATAAGAAGCACATGGAAATGCAAGGAGACTAACACTTTATTAATCAAAGTTAATACAGCTGCTGCTGTTTCATTTCATACTGTACATAGTACTGCACTGTACAGAGGGTAATAGAAAGAGCAATGCAAGCCCCTCTGTTGCAGAAGTGCACCACTATCAGTGGCAATTCAAACCTTTTTCTTCATAAAAGCACAAAGTGTTTTTTTATTGGGACTTTCTTGTTGACTGCACATGCTGCTAAATGCAAAACGGAGTGATAGCTGACTTGGTAGCTATCAGCTGTGCCACTGGAAACAGGCAGCTTTTGAATCAACTCATAATTTAACTGAATTTGACTAAAAAGTTGGGTAATACACTGTAAAGAGGCATAATCACTTTAGGCCCCCAGCCTTCACAGTAAGAGCTGGAACACAGCATGTGGGTTTCATACTAATGTGCTCTTAAGACTTGTAGCTGGGTTTATTTAGCATAAGGACTACAGTATGTATTGCCTCCTGTAAAACACAAGCAACTTTGTTACAGTGATTCACAGTAAAACATGTTGATATGCTTACAGTCAGTGTGCTGCCAAGTACAAAATCACATAGGGGTGCCTCCTGGGCAGTTAACTTGTTCCTGGCTTAGGCAGAACAGGCAAGATGCTTTCACAGGTTTGCTCAACCAACTTCAACCCAACTTCAGGGTGGTATTTTTTTGTTGCCAGACAAGGACTTTAGAATCAAGCGATAATTTGGGATAAAAAAATAAAGTCATACATGAAATAAATGAGCATTAACTTAATGGAAAGACACTGACAGAATGGATGGACCTTCTGGATTTATTAGCTAGCATAACATGGAAATAAGCTTAGGTTTTATTTGGTAATTCTTGATTTCTCCTTGTATTCATTTACAGCTTCTTATTTATGGCTCAGCCTGTCAAACACATTCTTAGATAAGCAACTGTTGCTCACAGGACTAATCTAATTACCAGTTCTTTTTATAACGACTGCTGACACAAAGGTAGAAGGATGTATAGCACTTGTGTTGAAGCCAATGCTACAGATGATCGAAGTTTTGAAATTAAGTGCATTTTGGATGGAAAATGTGTCCCTTTTTTGTCACGATGTCTCTGTTTTTTGTCCAACTCTAATTAGAAGAACAAGAGTGAAAAGCTGGTTACATTTGTAGTTCTGCCACATAATTAACTGCCAAGAGTTTAGACTTCTGCAGAAATGCTCCATGTGCATATTTACCTACTGCAGGCTGAAGAATGCTAGAGCCCTCATTACTTGTAAAGTGCCTTTTTTAATGTTCTGGAATTATTCTTCAAGAGCACATATATCAGAAGACCTTCAAATGGTATTTTAAAGACAGTTGAAAAGAAAACCAATGTAGCATGGGCTTGGCCAAACAGCAACGGTTGAGGAACTAACTCTACCTTATTGAAAGGACAATGTTTGTGTCCTTGGCCTTCATTCAAATCACAAACCCATTGTGTATTCTGGCATTTCGAGCAACCTGCTCCAGAAATGCCAACAAGTAATAGTATTTCTGGAAATGAATCTAGAGAAGCATTGGTGAATGTGATGGAAACTTCTGAATTTCCTTGGCTCATAACTGTTAATAAGTACTAAAAAGGAGGGGAGGAGGGAAGGTGAAACCCTTGAGATTAGCTTTTCTTTACCTCTAAGCACACATGAAATCAAACAAATAGGTTGTTGGGGTTTTTTTAATCTCTGGAGTTTTCCTCCTGAACTGTTGTGCAAACTGGTCTCATTCCCTCTAAAATAAATGGGAGTTCTGTCATTAATCTCCACAGAAACCTGTGCCAAACCTCAGTGTTTCACTGACCCATTGTGCTCCCACTGACTTCAGCAGGACCTAGACCAAGACACACACAAGGATGAAGAATATACATGGGTGTGTTTTGGGACCTTAACTGCTATTTCATATCCTATTTAAAATTTTCTCCAATCCTATGATGTGTGTCATGATGGCAAAGGTATGATTAAGTAAGTCTTAAGTCCCTCCTGATTGAGGACAGTAAAGTATAAAGCTGTCAGTACCCCCCACTCCATGACTCAAATGATATTTTCTTTTCTTCACCATTGGCAACTTCCCACGACCATATATTTTCTGCTCCTTCTAAAGAACCAAATGCTGAATGTGAATGGGTAGCCGAAGCTTCGATTTGCCAAGTAATGGTAGGGTGTCCCCTGGAAACAGGCCTCTTTTAATTCTGTTTCATATCTGAGGTAAAGTAAAAACATGGAAACAGATGGTAGGGAATGACTGGCATCTCATCATGCATATTTCATTTGATCTGCAGCTAGTCACCTCTTAGTAATAATATTAAATGCTATAAAACTCAAAGACTTTGTTCCTGGGATTACTGCATTCAATGACATAGGTCAGCACTGTAGCTTCAGTTAAACTTTGTCGCTGGTGAGCTATAAGTATTTACATCTTGAGCAAGATTATGACACAAACAGCTCGATTCTTCTGGTATGTTTAGGGCTGACTTGCAGAGAAACACACAGTTGCTGTTGTGAATTACAAATCTCACTTGATGTTTTTTTTAAGAGCACAATGGGATTAAACATCTATGGATATTTCCATTATGCTCTAAGGCGTTTTACTGGGAGAGATTTTTCACCATCAATTTTGTTGTATTTACATTATTTATATACAAGAAGAACAAGAGAAATGGCAGCCTGTTTCATGATTATATACATCGTGATTCGGTTGGAAAAATATGTATTACAAATGGGAAAACAGCCTGACAAATACATTATTATATGGTGTTCTATTTTTGTCAGAGACTTTTAATTCCTAAAATCCCACTGTATGATCTCAGTGAAAGATCCTATATATTATACTGGAGGGGGGACTAGAAACAGCATAATAATAGACTTCTCAGTTCCTGATTAATAACTCTTTTTCTTATTTTAATATGAGGGTTACCTTTGTAAAATGCTTCCGAAGCAAATTAAAAGATGGAATCTGATATAACAAAACATCACTTGACGTCAGGAGAAACAGTAACCTAAATTTCATTCATTGTCCCTAGTCTCAGAAGAGACACTGGGGAATAAAATATCACTCCCTTGTGATGCATTACTTATCTGAGACTTTGTTTTTAATAAGAACTGTGCTCTCCTGTACATTATTCTTTCCTGTTCTTGCTTTAGCTCAATGTAGGAGCGTGAAAACGTGTGGAAGATGGAGGTGACTGGAAATGCCATGAGGAGGATGCCACTCAGTATGCTGCTGAGGGCCACCACTTGGCCAGGAATGCTTCTGGGAACCATATCTCCATAGCCTACCGTGGTCATGGTGATGACAGCCCACCAGTAGCACGCGGGGATGCTGGTAAACTCCTGCGAGTTCGCCATCTCATTCTCAATGACATAGAGGAGTGGTGCAAACAGTGCAATGGCCACACAGAGGAAGAGCAGCAAGAGCCCGAATTCACGGGTGCACCTGCGAGCTGTCAGCCCCAGTGTCTGCAGCCCCAGGGAGTGCCTGGCCAGCCGCATGACGTACAGAATCCTCAAGGCACGGAGAATACGGAGGACCAGACCTACTTTGTCCAGGTAGATGCTCCCAGAGCTGGGCTTTTTATAGCCCACTGACGTGGTGTCTACTAGCAAAGTGATGTAGTATGGCAGAATGGCTATTATGTCGATCAGGGTTAATGGTCTCCGCAGAAATGCAAACTTGCTCTTTGCCTGGATGAATCTTAGCAGGAACTCCAGGGAAAACCATGCCACACACACAGACTCCACAATGAAAATATTGTAGCACATCTGGGAACACTCACCCTGCAGGAAAGAGGAGGAGTTTGTAATCGGCACTGGATAATAACTATTTTACTTGGTGCAGTGACAGGAAGAGAGGTTTCTGTGTTGGTTTTTTTTTTAAACCCAAAATATTAAAATAATTGAAGCTGTTGCTATGGGGAAACACACTAACAAAATAGAACAAGTTAAATGCAAACCTTATAAAGGAACTATATATTCCACAGACGATATTGCTCAGTAACTTCAGGCTTTCTAAATAGCAAACACAAAGCTAAACAAGGTAATAATGCAGTTGTACAGAAGAGTGCACACTAACAAAATGTTCTTTGGACATAAAACTTGGTACGATTAATTCTCTTACGAGTAATTGAATTGAAAAGAGTCACGTCAGATTTCAAATATTCTTTGTGTTATTCCCCCCCCCCCCCCCCCAAAAGACAGCTGCAAAATCCGCATGGAAGTCAGAACCATCAGACCTTGTACTTGTTCTGCTCTTTCCAGCACATACCATTTTCCATCCTGAAAAGCTAACTTACCTTTTCCTCCTCCTCCCTCAGGTCAGGCATGGTGCTGATGGATAAGTTCACTGCTGTGATAGTTACAAATAAAACAGACAAACAAGCAAACACCTTTCCAGGGAGGCCAGACTGGGGTCTTTCCACCATGTCTTGCAGCTTCTTCATGCACAAGCCAATTCTTGTCTCCTCTACTGTTTCACCTGTTTCATTTTCTATGAGGTCATCCTCCCGTTCATTTATTTCTGTAAGCTCCTCCATTTTTTGCAGGTATCTCCTCTTACAACACCAGTCCAAGTTGTCTTCCTCAATTCCCCAGTAGAGCAGCTCCTCTTGGAAAGACAGTGCACACATCTCACGCAAGAGACGAAGTTTTCCGACCCGCAGAAAGGTCAGGATTGTCCTGAATGCCCCTGGGTTGCGGTCGAAAAAGAATTCATTACATGTCACATCGTAATCATCACAGATGTTTAGAATGTCATCAAAATTAGTACAGAACTTCAGTTGTCCCAGACGTGTCAATGGGAATTCATCAAGCGTGGTCCAAGGGAGCAAATACTTAATGCCCCCTACGTTTATAATAATATGATGCTTCCGATCATCAGGGTGAAAGCCTTTCAGGAGATCCTCTTGAGGGTGAATTAGCTTGGCTCTTTGGTAAAAGACTCCCTTAAGTGTTTCTGTTTCTGGAAAGAATGTGTGGTGGAAGGAAGTATCTGAGGTGCAGCTCAGGGCACTATAGTCATAGTCGGAATTTTCTCCAGGTAGAACAGTCATCTTGGAAGATAACTTCACATCACTTGGCTACTTCTGCAAGTGTCTTCTGGAACAAAAAAGACCAGATATATGGGGTAAGTGAATAAAAGGTTGATTTCAAGTTTGAAACAAATGCAGTGATTAGAGCTCAAAAACATTGATAGTTGATAAAAACAATTGGAAACAAAATAGCAGTGGCTGAGTATGGTTAGAAGACCTTTGTGGTGAGGCTGGATTTGTCCAGCTGGGTAGAACTGACTCTGTCAAGGGCTGTTGACTCGTTCAGGAGCTCTGCTCAGCATATGTGTCACACTGGGTGGCTTCTCCTGTCTCAGATACAGAGGTCTAAGTTCCCAGTGGATATAGAAGGAAACCAGGAATAATCTCAGCATGTGGCAGGATATTCCTGGTTCAGAATGGAAGTATAAAAATTATGACAATATCACATAAGAACATAAGATTCAATTTTGTTTTGTAGAAAAGGAAATTGTATCTTTTTATTTAAGTATTACACATAAAATCTTAAGTATTTTAATACCATAAAGTATATAGAAACAAGTAGAAGTCAATTATATTGTAATTCAGTAAATACACACTTCAAAAAAACAGTTAGTATAAGATTTACTTCTAAAAGGCCATATGGAAACAATTTTTGGAAAAAGACCCCCCTTACATTGATAATCACATAAAATGTGTGTGTAGAGTTTATACACTTTTAATGACATGGCAACTCCTTTTTTATGGCCTCATTTACAAAAGATTGCAAAGGAATACATGATTTCTACATAGCCATTGGAATATTGTTTCGGTTGTAACTGATGCAGGGCATATATATAATAATCCTTACAATGGATTAAACTGTGGCTGAGAGCCAGGGTGAGTGCCTTCACCTCGGATTATAGGGAACCAGAAAATTCTCACCATGAATTTGAAAATCACATTCAAATTCTGCTCACACAACACTAAGTGTAACCACTCAGAAGTGACCACAGGGTTCAAATGGGTATAAAAAGCAGGTCCTGGAAATGTTAAACTTTTTGCCTGCCTAGCTCACTGTGTTTTAAAAGTCAGACAGAAAGTCTGCTCACACGCAGTGCTGCTGCTCGCTCTTCCACCTGTACAGTCATCTCCAGCTTAATACGTGGAGCTGCTGACTTTCATTTGGTAAGAATATTTCTTTAAGTAGACTGTACATTAAATATACATTAATTATGCACAAGTATTCTGACTGTCTAGCCTTGAGTTCACAGACCAGTAATAAATATTACACTCGCCTGGCTTCAGTAGCAATACATAGTTTTGTCCTTTTCCTGGCTGTACTTACCTCCCCTTTGATACGCACCCTGGGGATATGTGCCCCTGCTAGGGTGACCTCCTTACACACAGAACTGTCGTTTGCAGAAGCTGGGGTTTATAAACGACATCAATAGTCTTACATACCTATTATAGAAAAAAAACCATGAATACACAACAGCAAAGTATTCAAAAGATAGCTTCACTTCAGTTTAATAGCAACAGGCTTTCCTTGATGCAATGGGACTTACAAGTCTGCTTTCAATAAAGTACAATCTCAGTTCTGCTCCTGAACTTCCCAGATGGAATACACTGAAAAAAGCAGGTCCTTACGTACTGCTACAAATATGTGGCCCTGGGTGAGCTTTGGATGGAGTGGTATTTCCTGATTCCTCACCTGTAATCCTCTTTAGTACAAAAAGAAATTGTTAATTTACTTACCTTTAGGGCATGTGGATAAAGAAAACCTACAACAATATGCAAGAATGGACAAGGCATGATTCAGATCTTCCAAGAGCTGTGGTACTATTTTCTGGCCTGAGGTAAGCAAAGAGGTAACCTTTGTCATCTTGCTTCTGTCACAAAGTGGGATCTCTTCATTACTATCACTAGTGACTTGAGGACAGCTAGTTAGCAAGGAACCTGTTCTCCATGCCAAAATCTTAACTGTGTTCACCTTTCAGTGCCTTGTCATTGTCTACTTGCTTGTATTGGTGAGTTGCTCTGTCTTTGCTCCAGAATTATGATTCTGGAAATCCCTGCGGCAGGGGAGGGGCAGTTCTGAAGCTCCTCTGGAAGTAATGGTGAATGCAAACAATGACAAAATCCCACCAGCCTGCACCTAAATACACTTCCAATCAATTCTGGTTTGTCTCTTGCCCTGAGAGAGCCTGAGCGAAGGCCTGCTCACCGGAAAGTCCTTCCTTTTTTTTTTTTTGGAAGGCACATTAACACATAACATAATTGTATTTTAAAGTCACACTTTAGGAAATTCTAGCCAGTGCTGGGATTATCAGCAGAGCTTCATGACAGACGATGGCACTCTGCCATTGCCCACTGGAAAAGCTGCAGGACTCAGAGGAATGAAGGGATCTGAGGAGAGTGATAACTGGCGCAGATAGTGCTAGCTAGAGCAGAGGAAATTCGGAACAGTTGAAATTGAAATTACACTGACATACAGTCCTGTCACATGAAGCACTCCTAATGACCTCAGAGCTGATCTTCTGTTAAAGCATTCCCAAGTAGAAGTAATGCCACTGGGAGTTCAAGCTATAGTTTTGATATGGGTAAACAGGACTACCTGATATATATTTGTGTAGGGCTCCTTTTCTCAGAGCAACTGCTGTGGTTTCCCCTCTGCCTAACCTATGCTTAATGCAGGGCTGGCCCAAAGAGAATAAAGATTATGACTGATGTAAGACTATGGATAAATGGGAGCTGTTAACTGTTTTCCCTTCTGAAATACCAGATGATGTTGGTTAGCAACAACTAATCTTCTGAAACTCAGCCAGGAAAAATGAGGAGGCAGTTCATCTCTGTCACTGGTCTGATCTCCCACCGCATCCATTGTTGACACAATGGGAAGAAATGGGGAGAGGGGAATGTAAATGTTCGGCGTGTGTCAGACACACGCTGTAACCCTGAGGCATCACCTGTGAAATAAGAGCAAAGCAACAAGAATTTCTCTCTTCATTTCCAGCTTTTCAACCTGTGCAAGACAATAAATTGGACAAATGAATCCCCTACGTAACACACTGAATGACTGCAGTTATAAAAGGTGGCTCCTTCTTTCTCCATAATGAGAACTGGCAAGCCCACACATCCCACGTAGGCAGCTATAGTATTTGATGCCATACATGTGTTATTTACGTGTTCTTTCCTCAGATACACATAGCATCACATCTAAGGGGGAAGAATAGGAGGCAATAAAGGACAACAGAAAAGATGGCCTGACTCAAAGGAATGGAAGAATGAGGAAAACAAAGCCATACACTTCTCTGTATGTTTCTTGTTTTCCTCTGGAAGGAGCTTCTACAACACTGCTTTAAGATGGGAGAGATCTAATTAATGGAAGGGTCTTTCTTGCTATTGAGCTTAAAAACCGAGCAAACTGTTTTAGTCATACATGGCAGACTGATGGCATTGGAGATGGCTGTAAGAAATGCATTAAGAATTAAACACAACATACAGCATATAAGGTCAGAAAAACACATTATTGTATAGCAGCAATTTTCCTCAATATTAAACAAGATGAACTCTAAGGATACGCTGTAGCAGTAAAATCATCAGATAAAACTGCTCTGCTTCAGTAAGGCCCAATGGTAAAATCCCTCCTTGGCTGAGATAGCCTTCTGCCCTTTGGATGCCTGGGAGTTAGAGAAGCCCAGTTCATCATTCCAACTACCCTGTTGATAATGTGTTTTCATCTTGGGCGAATTGCTTCTCTCTGAGCATCATTTCCTATTTTTGTTTGTAAGCTTACTGGGGCAAGAACTGTCTCTTACTACAGTATACAATCCTGATCGTTGTTCTGGCTTCTAGAAACTACAGTAATACAGAATAACTGGCCCATAGCACAGGCTCTTGGTGACGTTAAGTGGTGTGGTGTGCATGTGAAGCGAGATACAACGTCTTTGAATCTCTACTGCCCTTACTCTCGGCCGAAATGTAAGGAGGGTGCCAGACAATGGGGAAAGAATTATTAAAGACGCCCTTCTGCAGGAAAGAGACAGAAATCATGAGTAAGATTAAAATTCCACTGCAAGAATCATTTCCCCTCCCAGTGTCCTCTGCAGTATTTTGAATTCTGCAGTGCATCTCTGATGTAATCAGAGCTCCTGCAAAGAGTCCTGATACTGCTCTGTGATGCAGACAAGACAAAGTTGCGCCTGGATGATAACAAGCATGCAAGGAAGATGCAGAACTCCCCCCTAGATGCTTCTATCAATCCCAGTGCCTGGGACTTGTCTCTGAGGCTTTTTACCATTTGTAAATTAAGTTTAAAAAAACCCAAACAACTTTCAGATTTCAGTGCAGGCTGACTATGAAAACAGTGATTTTTGGGAAAGAATTCTGTCAGAGACTGCTCTACAGTTTAATGATCCTTCCCCTATTCTTCCCTTAGATAAAATAAGCAGTTTTCTCAAGCAGTGTTAAATTCAGCTATCTTCTGACAGATTATTTCCATACAGTATCAACACTGTCAGGATACCCTCCTGAAATACTTGAAGCTACAGTCATGCAGCTCTTCACGTAGTAAGAACAGATCTCAAACTTCAGCTCTGCTTGCAAAGTAAGCTTCCAGACAAATCAAAGTAAAACTTGTAAAGGTTAATATATAATATCAAACAAAATCATCCTGAAAACAGATCATCTGAAAAGAGATGCTCATATCTATACATTGCTCTCCCTGAGCTGGACAGTGTTCTGCTTTTTGGCATCTTACGACAACCTACAAACTAAATTATGACAAACATTACTCAATGTTTGGTCTTATAAAGCTAAGCCTAATTCTACCGATAACAATCAGAAGTGATAGAACTTTGCAGATAACTTACATCCCCAGGAAGATGTTCTGAAATGCATCAGAACTAACAACTGTAGTTATTATCCTGCTGTGAAGTATACTGATGTCAACAGATTTTAATAAGTCATATTCAAAACAATCTCTTAAACATCTTTTGAAAAACAGTAAAGGATTTGTCATTGATTTATATAGATACATATTTTGCCACTGAAATGAAGATACGTAGTCATGGGAGAGTTATTGTATGCGTGTCGGTCCTTCCCCCCCCCCCCCCCCCCCAAGTCTTTTCCCATGAAAAAAAATCCACCAAAAATACACTGCCTACCAAGAACAGTTAACTTGATGTGCCAGTGGCCAACGAACAGAAGTCAGTAATTAGATCAATGTAAAAGACATCCCAATCATTTTAAAATTAAAGCTATAAAGGACCTTCAGATCAGGCAGAGAAGAAATCAGAAACACAAGCCTCCACGCTGCACTGTGCAGACCCAGGACTCGGGCAGAGGGAGAGCCGGGAAGGGGAAGACCGAGCATCACAAACCGAGCCCGATGGAGCAGCCTTGACCGCCGTCAGCCTCCTCCGCGACAGGACAGCAGAACGCCGGGAATCAGCCGAGCGGTCCCGCCACCGGCCGAGCGCCTCCCGCTGCCGGCAGCACGGGCAGCCGGGGCTGGGGAGGGGATGGCGGCGCGGGGGGACAGTCCCTCTCGTCCATCCCTGCTGCGGAAGAAAACCTGTTGCTACCACCCGTGCCCGGACTCGCACGACCCCCCCCCGCCTCCTCCCCGCCCCGCACACCCCTCCAGGCGGGTAGGGCGGGATCCCGGGGACCCCCTCCCCCGTTCCTCTCCCCGCCCCGGGCGGGCTCTGCCTCCCGCCGCAGCCCCGCGCCTGCCGCTGCCCCCCGCACCGGCCCCGAGGCGCTCCTGGAAGGAAAGGAAAGTTCCCTGGAAACTTGCCTGCGAGTTGCCCGCGGCGCCGGGCAGCGGGCGCTGCCGGCGGGAGCCCCGCGGCGGGGGGGTCGGTGCCGGTCCGTGCGTTCCGCGCTGCGCTGCCGCTGCGCCGTGCGGCGGCGGGGGCGGCCCCGGGGGATGGGGCGGGGGGAGCCCGACCCTCCGCATGGTCCGCCCGGCGGCGGGGGCAGGCAGCGGCTGGTGGCGCGGAGTCCCCGCGGGCCCGTGCTGACCTGCTGCGGGGATGGCGGAGGAGGAGCTCCCGGCGCTGCCCTCCGCGGGAGCCGCTTCTCCCGAGCGGGAGCCGCGGGCCGGGGTTGTGCCGTGTCCGCCCCGGCGAGCCTCGGCCCGCACCCGGCGTGCTGCGGAGCGGGGGGGCCGGCCGTCTGCTCTGCCCCGGTGTCCTTCCTCCAGGGCGACTCTCCGGGGTGGCTGGAAGCAGTGGGTGATGTCCACAGGTGGCATCCCGGGCTGCTGCCGTCGTCAGGAAAAGTTCTGGTGCTTTGCCTGTTCCGTGGTAGTTTTAATGATCTATTTTTCGCTTCGAGAAGCGGCGTTAAAAGGGTCCTTTAAAGCGTAAATCAGAACTTATCCCTCCCCCCACTGCAGAGCTGTGACTCCAGGAGAGATAAACCTATGCCATGCTCCTGTGGCACCCTTGCGAAGTACGGAGACGATTAACACACCAGTATTGGTTGTCAGAGATTTGGACAACATTCCGTATCTCTACTTTTAAATGAAATGTGTTTGACATCTGGGTGGAAGTCACTCTGTTTGGGATTTACTCTATGTTTAAAAGTGGTGAATTAAATCTTGGTGCCAAGGTTGAGGAGACACCAGCAGTTTAAGTTCTGACAGGGACTCTTAAGTGCAACCCACTCCCATCCTGTGGGCTATTGTCCCGCAGTGGGTGCAGGGGTTGTGATACTTTTGGCCTCTGATGATGTTACCTGCTTAGGCACTGGTCTTGGAGGGAGTTCCCTGCAGCCGAACTCCTGCACCTGGAGGCAGGATGGTGACAGTCATCTCTAAGCTCAGTGGGACAGGGGCTGTCTCTTGTTATGATCATTGTGCACTGCTCGGGGTCTCATTTCAAGTAAGGTCCTTTGTTGCTATGGTAATACAAATGAGCAGCCTATACTATGGTAATTTTAGCAAAATACTGCTTTTTTCCCCCTAAACTAAATTGGACTGTGGTTCAGAATTGTGTGGGCACACAGGAATAGTTATGCTGATATTCGTCAACTGTAGCTGCTAAACAGCAGTTGTATAGAGGGCTGACAGCGGCCAGGCTGAGGGCATCTCTTGTTCTTTTTCCCCTGATACTGCATATGATTTGTATTTGACTTTGTAAAGGTTTCTTAGCATGGCTCAGCCTTTATCTGCAGAAGAGAGGTAACTGTTTTTACTGACCACAGTGCTATGTATAAAGAATTTTGGCTTTTGTATAATAGTCTGTAATAATCTTGTTAGTGAAAGCCTGTATTTGAAAAGCCTTTGTTGATAATCGCTGTCAAAGAGGAAGGACACATTAAGTAGGGTCTCTCAGGGAATAATCTGGGAACAGTTTTGGTCAGTGTTTTCTGTAATAACTTGGGTGATGGAATGGAGGGCACTGTTGGAACATTTGTAGTGTTTCCAAGCAGAGTGCAAGGCTGAGATTCAAAATGACCTTGATAAACACTGCAGCCCTCATCTGAACTCAGCGCAATAAAATTCTAGAGAAAATAATTGTGGTATGACACATAGAAAGGAATATCACATGTCAAATGAGGACTATTAGGTAAAAATACTGCAGAAGAGAATCTTGGGACTGTAGTGGATCAGAGACTGTGCAGTGCTGCAAAACAGTCATGTTGCTCTGAGCTCTAGTAACAGGAGGATCATATGCAAGACATCAGAAGGCGTTATTTCTGTTCCGTTTAGGACTAGTCAGACTTGGCTGAAGCACTCTATCCAGTTTCAAACATTACACTTACTCTTAAAGAAAGATGTAGGCAAACAAGATAGGAAAATAGTAACCAAAACTGTGAGAGGCTCAGGAAATGGAAGTGACGTGGAAAGATGGAATTCGATTATTTCATCTGGAAAAGAAAACACCACGTAAGGACATGGCAACTGTCTTCAGATCTAGAAACACATTTATAAAGATGACAGTAAACTGTTGTTCTGTGACCACCAATGCCAAGATAAAAAGCAATTTTCTAAAGTGCAATAAGGGAGATTACTTTAGATAGCAGGAAAAAACCCCAAACAAACGGAACAAAACCATTACTGTGTGAGTAGCTGCGATCTAAAGAGGTTGTAAATCTGTTCAGTGAAGACTCAAATGAAAGCATGCGTGACCTTGCCTCAGGGCAGGGGAGAGTTTCAGTGATCTGAGACACTTCCCAGCCCATATTTCTATGGTTTGGGTCTGTCAAACAAGCTATATCTATCCTGTCAGGAAGAGCCATGGCGGCATGGCACAAAAAGAGAACTCGTTACCACCTCAAATGTTTAATGCAGTGTTTTTTAGTATTTAATAAATCACACCTGACTGTGCTATTCAGATCAGTATCTGATTAACATCTGGAGACCAAGAGTGGCTTACGGAGAGAGACAGAGAGCAGGAGCTATCCATTGCAAGTAAGCAGTTTTCAAATCCAGTTTTGAGCAATAATGACTGAAAATCATTACTACTTGGTAGTGAGTGCAAATATAAATCTCCTGCAACTTGTCTGGGACTCACTGTAGAAATCACCACCTCATTTGGACACTTGGCTGGCAGATTCAGGTAACGTCAAGGCATTGACATTGGTATAAGACATGAAAGTCAGGTGAGGTCGCTGGCTGTGGCCAATATTAAATCTGTTCTGGCAAATGAAGGTCTTTACTCCTCAGGCATGTCTTGCCTGCATCCTTCATGAGCACAGAGCTCATGTGAGAAACTGAAGTGGTACATGCCCTTGAAGATAAGAAGTAGTGCACTAGCAGTTTCCCTGTAGCGATAAGCTGACTGCATGGCCAACTGGCTGAGGATTCCCAGAGTAAATCTATCACTCCGTGCTCCCTGAGGAATTAGCATTGCCGCAGAGAAAAATTTAATCCCACTTTCATTACTGTTGTAGCCTGTGGCTGCTTTCCCTTCTGTTCCTTTGATTGTTGACATTGAAATCCTGTTCTATGGTTTCTCTGGCTCTTGCAGATAATTCCAGCACTGTTCTGCAGTCAGCAGCAGTGCTGCCAGCAAAACAAGGTATTTCAACTTCACAGCACCTTTCACCTCTCACTTTCCAAACAAAGCAAGAGGCTAAGTTAATTTCTTATAAAACAGAACTTAAATATCTACAAGGCTGAAAGGTGAGAATTTTCAAACCCGAGCTACAGACCAAGGATTATTCACCAAAGTTATTCATCAGAAAATTGCAACTAATGAATACATTACAAAAATGCCATCTGTTTGAGAAAAGCTCTGTAAACAGAGAGAAGCAAACCTTTCTGAATAAATCATGGGCAGTGAATTATCCACCTGGTCTTAGAAAATTTAATGCTTTTGTCTTTTAAGGATGTTATAGAATGTGTATGCAAAATGTTAGGTTGAAGGTGGATAGCACAGGCTGCTGTTGATAGGGGTTCAAAAAAGTCTCAGAAAAGAACATGTCAAAGCCCTTAATACCATCTGATGTGTGTCAGTGGCTTTCTCAAACTGAACAAGGGAATTTCTTCAAGAAGAAGGAAATCTGTCTCTTTATTTCTGTTTATACTCAGATCCATTTGTACCTTGATTTCTGCTATTATAGGAAGAAAATGGTACTTATGATTTTTGTATTGCGTACAGACTGTTAAGGGGAGCGAGAGTGCAACCACTTTAGCCATTAGCACCATCCACAGGAAAGGAAGCAGGAAACATCTGTCAACCTTCAGCTCTATCAGCACTTTCAATGTGACAGTCCTGCTGGGAAAGAAGGGCTTTAAGTGGCTAAAGATTCGACTTCTGATCATGGCTTGCTCTGAAATTCTCAAGCTGCGTGTGCTAGTGGGACCTCATGGTTCACTCTACACAGCAGTTCATCTGGTTTCAGACAACAGCTATTTGATGGGACTCTGGGCATGCTGCTATTCAGCAGCTCTCCTAAAAAGGACTTGGAGGTCTTGGTAGACCACAAGCTTAACATGATCCAGCAAAGTGCCTTGTAAGCAGAGAAAGCCAACAGCATCCTGGGATGTAACAACAGGAACCCAGCTGAATGAGGAGCTGTGATTACTTGCCTTTCCTTGGCACTCATTAGATGACTTCTAGAATACTGCATCCAGTTTTGGCTACTCAGGACAGGGAAAACATCCAGCGACTGGACTGTGTTCAACAGAGGGCCACCAAGATGGTCAGTGGATGGAGTACATGCTCTGCTGCAGGGCTGAAGGAAATTGGGCTAGTCCAGCCTGCAGAAGAGCAGGCTTTGGGGAGACGTGGTAGCTTCCAATATCAACAAGAAGGTTGTCAGAAAGACTGAATCAGGCTCTTCATAGTGGTGCATGGCAGGAGGACGGGAGAGAACAGTCGTAAACTGAGAGTAAGGAAAAACTTCTTTCCCATGAGGACAGTCAAGCAGTGGAGCAGCCAGAGCACTTGTGCTGTCTCCATCTGCGGGGATTTTCAGACATGAATTGGATTAAGCCCTGAGCAACCAAATCTGCTTTCACAGCTAACCCTGCCTTATGCAGGAGGCTAGACTAGAGTTCTCCTGAAGTCTCTTCCAGCCTGAGCAATTCTGGGTTTTGGTGGGAATTGCTGTTTGAAATACTACTGCCATTGCCAGCTTCTCCTGAGGAGTTCAGGGTGACCACTGTGAGGGGAGATCTGTCCCGTCAAGG